TGCATGGCCTCTGAGTGACCATTGCATGGCCAGTAAATGGTCATTGCATGGCCTCTGTGTGACCATTTCGTGGCCTCTGTATGGCCACTGCATGGCCAGTAAATGGTCATTGCATGGCCACTGTGTGACCATTGCATGGCCAGTAAAGGGTTATTGCATGGCCACTGTGTGACCATTTCATGGCCAGTAAATGGTCATTGCATGGCCTCTGTGTGACCATTTCATGGCCGGTAAATGGCCATTGCATGGCCACTGTGTGACCATTTCATGGCCGGTAAATGGTCATTGCATGGCCACGGTGTGACCATTTCATGGCTGGTAAATGGTCATTGCATGGCCAGCAAATGCCAACCACAAGGCCACTGAGTGACTTTTCTATAGGTAATAAATGATCATCACCAGGCCACTGAGTGACCATTCTGTGGCCACTAAATGGCCCATTGCTGGGCCACTCTGGGGACATCCCAGAGCTGCTCAAGCACTGTGGGGATGGGCAGGTGGCACTGCCACCACATCCCCCTTCACCCCATGGGACATCAGGGGGACAGAGCCACCACGACCCACCCAGTGGTGTCACCCCTCAGGACAGCAGGGGGACAGAGGCACCACATCCCCCCTCCCCAGTGGCGTTTGGGTGGCAGGGGCTGCTGCGTTCCTATTCCACGCACGCAGCCTGTAATTTTGGTCTATTGAAGTCATAATTCACCACTGTGAAAATAAACATTTGTGTTAGCTGGCTTTATTCGGCGGGTTCGGCTGAACGTTGATCATTCCCCGCCGGCGCCTTTGCACGTGGCCCGGGGTGCCGGGACAAAGCCGGGCCACCGTGGCCATGGCAGTGGCCACCTCCTGCAGGCTTTGGGCGAGTTCCCCCCCTCCTTTGTACCCATCCCTGGGATCCCCTGGATCCCGAAGGAAACGGGAAAGGAGAGCCACTTTGTACTATCAGGGATAATGAGGAAGATAAATGTGATTTTTAGACAATATTTGGAGTGCAGCACCTACTCAGACCCTTCCCATCCCTGTCACTGAGTTTGCGCCCTTGTGCTGTTTTGTGGGTGTTCCCACCACACCAAAGACACCCCATCACCCATTCCATGCCATCGCCATGCAGGAGGAGCCTGGGACCCCCAGCCCCGGCTGTCCCCAGGGCTGTCCCCAGGGCTGTCCCCAGGGCTGTCCCTGCTGGGTGCGAGGGGCTGGAGCTTCCCTCGGCATTTGCATCTTCCCAGCCTTTATCTCCCTCCCGGTCTCTGTATTGCTGCAATTACAGACACTTTAAAACACAATGATCTGGCTGTTAGCGTGATGGATGACAGAACCTTTCTGTCTGGTTTAAATCATTGCTGAGAGTGAGCAAACTTCCCCGGCTTAACCCTTTCCTGCCCTGAACCCGCTCTCAGCCCGGGGCTGCTGTGCTCTCCATGGTCACCCATCCACCACACGCCTGGGTGCCATGGGCGGGATACAGGAGTTCTGGCATTCCTACAGGAAACATTCCCGCACCCCGCAGCCCTGGGCTCTGTGCTGTGCCTGGGGACAGGGATGGGAGCAGCCCCGGCCGGCAGAGCCGGTGGCCCCGCTGCGCTCGGCTGCGGTGGGAAATTAACGGCTGGAGCGGAGATAAGCGCGTGCCAGAGTCCGATAGCCGCGGGATCCATCCAGCCCCGGGCTGGCAATCCTTCCTTCCCCCGGCAAATCTGGGAGCGGGGCACAACGCGGCCCAGTGCGTTCCCACCCGTGGCAGAGGATGGAAGCTCCTGTCGTGACTCGCTGTCGGTCACGGTGTGTGATTGATGGCGTTGAGCCACACACGGTGCGGCGATCCCTGCTCCCTTTGTTGTGGGGTGGTGGCATCTCCCTCTGCCCAGCATCCTGCCCAGTGCCCATCCCCAGCGCCTGCCCACCCACGGGTGTGCCACCCCACGGGAGGTGTCACCATCACCCATCCAATCCACCACACGGATTTAGCTGCCCAGCAGGATGGGGTGTCACCACCACCCACCAGCTGTGCTCGGGGGCCACATCCTCCATCCATCCCTGCTGGGTGTGCTGCACATGGAGAGGCTACACGGGGCGCTCTGGAGGGTGACAAGGACCTGTCCCGGGGGAAGGGACACCCCAAGGCACAGCCTGGGGGAGAAGGGGAGCCCCGAGGCCTTGGCCTGGTGTGTGCCACAGATAAGGTGCTCGCTGAAGGCAACTGGTACCAAAACCTCACAGGAAATGGTCAGCACCGTGTGCCATCCGTATCTGCCCTACACAGGACCCCTGTCCGCTATCGGGGCTGTGCATGTGGGCAGGGGCAACGAGGTGGGTGCCGATTCATGATGCCACCAGAGCACCCTCAGATGGCCCCTCTTGCTTCTGCAGCCATCACTGTGATGGGACACTTCACACCTTGTGGGTGCCCAGCCGTCGGTGGTGACCCAGGGCTGTCCCCGTGCACTCCCCTTGTCCCGGCTCTCCNCCTGCCTCCTCCCAGGCAACAAGTGGGATGTGCCAGCTCCAGGATGCCCGGGCTGGCTGCCCTGCTCTCCCTTCCCCAGGGATGGGGTGAGGCAGGCTCGGAGCAGCGCTGGATGTGGCCGCTGGAAAGCTGCGGCTCCCTGCAGGCAAAGCTGTCCGGGTGAGGAAGGGGTTAAAGGGAATTCAGCGCCCAGCATCCTTCATGCTCTCCAAATGGCCACAAATGAAATCCAGATGCTGGAGGCGACGTCTCCCCAAGCCAGGCTGCCTGCGAAACAAAGGCAGGGAAGCATTCCTGCTCCTCAGCTGCCGCAGCCGGCGGGGCCAAGAACAACTCCCCGATAAGATGGCAGGGCAGGAGCTGTCCCAGCTGGAGCAGGTTTGGAATTGGAGGCGTGCAGTGCCTGAGGCCGGGCAGCAGCGCCAGCCACGTGCACCAGCCCGGCAGAGCTGCTGGGACCTCAGGGCACCATCANACCGCCGGAGCCTCCGCGCCGGATCCTGCCGGGGTTTCCAGGCATGCAAACACCCACGGCTCAAAGCAGAATTCCAGGAACGTCGGCACAGACCTGCCAGCCCCAGGTACCCCGTGGGACCCGCCAGAGCCCCCTCCTGCCCCAGCCGCCAAGCCCTGAAGGGGGGCTGAGCACCAGAATATTTTTGCGTTCTGCAGCCTGGAAGTTCCTGATGAAAGAGGAAAATCCTGCAGCCACACGAGGCCTCCCCACTGCCCAAACCCACCACGGGAGAACAGCCTGTCCCCCTCCATGTCCTGGCTTTCCCCCCTACAAACCAACATCTGCACTCGCGTTTGCCAAACAAAGCACACCCAGCACCTGCCTGCTCCCGGGTGAAGCCTTACCTGCCAGCACGGGAGGCAGCCGGCAGGGCAAACCCCCCTGGCACAGCCCAGCTCACCTCCACTCGCCTCCCCAGGCACGGAACCTCTCCCTGTGTGCAAACTCGCGGCAGGATTCCTGCCTCACAAACCTCCGAGGCTCCAAGAGCCCGCCCCAGGCGGCAGCTCGGCTCCATGGGCTGCTCACCCGAGCACCGAGGCTGTCAGCATCCTCCGCGGCCGCTGCTCCGTGCGTGCCGCGGGCTTTCGGGCTGGCTCCCCCGCTCCTCCATGCCCCGCACCGCGGCACAGCTCGCCCACCGCGGCGCCGAGCAGACGGGCGTTCGCAGAGTGTCTTCGAGTCGCTCCACAAAGGAGCGGGGAATTAATATTCCTTTTAATTAAAGGCAGAAAAATCTCTTTGTTCCTGAACAGAGAGAAAACAACAGAGGGAAGAGCTCAAAAGCTCTTCCTAAGCTGGAGACGAGACCATCGCTTGGAATCAAAGACACTGTCAGCGCACACGTGACCTCGAATTAAAAAAACAAAATGAAACGCAGCAGCGGCGGCGGCTCCTCTCCGACAGCGAAGCAAAGTTGCAAAGTTTTTCTTGGCTAATAGAGGGCAAAAAAAGAATTCCAAGAAAAGGTGTGTTTAACTAGAGGAACGCTCTGCGGTATCCGAAGGCACCATCCAGCGGCGAGGGGGTGACGGGGAGAGCTGCTTGTGCTCCGGCTCGGTGTCGCGGGGAGAAGCGCGGGGCCGGGCTCGCTCCA